CCATTAGCWGTCAAACTCTCCACACCTGCCAAGTCCAGACCCCTAAACTAATTCATAAGCATTCAGCAACTTCCCTCTTCCCCTGGGGACTGACTGTTATTTTAGCATTAACTTCACTGCCTGCATGAGTATGGTTGAGATCTGTCTGATTCTCACAAAAACCTTAGTAAAGAAGGGGCACAGACTTCTTATCTGGCATCAATCAAATGTCAAGAATGAGATTTCTGTAGCATTTACACAGTGCCACAGACTGAGAGATATTCATGGGATTTGAAAAGCAAAGGCTTTGTTGATATTTTTCTAAATTCACTGAGGTAAAGGTGTGTTTGCTCCACCCAAAGCTGGAGTGACAGCCTTGTGCTGGGCTTTGCTTGCACACATTCTTCCCATGCCAAATCCCTGCCTAATAAAAACAGGCAGGCTTTAGTCCTGGTCTCATACACACTCATTTTCATTGGGTAGAGTTATACTAGTCAAGACTTCTCTTACTGTCAAGGGAAAGCAGAAATGGATTCCATCACTAATTTTCGTATTTAAAAGAAGGGTGGGGGAAAGGGAGTCATTTGAAAAACACCAAAAGCWCCAAGTCAAGATCTAACCTGGTCATTAAGGCCAGTTCTAAAAATATTAAAATAAAAGAAAACAAAACACAGCGTTCAAAAAGCCCCAATGGTAGATCTGTATTTCTTTGGTCTGGTTGAACTGGTCTTCCTCATGAGGAAATAGGGAAAAAATGTGTGAAATTCACTTTGGCAAAATTCATACCTTATTTTCCTCCACTTTTCTCCTCTGCAAGTTTGAAATTTAAGATTTTGGTATAGAAAGTAGGTAAAAAATAATTTGTTTTACATGGTGTTACATTAGTCCTGAAATAAAGTCTTTTTTATTTTAGAGTCACTATCTTTATTTAAAAAAGAATATCCACMAACATACAAAATTTTGGTAGGAGAGATCATTTTCAATTTTACCTACAGTTCTGGAGGAAAAATGTTAAGTGTGGAGACCTTTACTCCTTTGTAAACCTGTTTAATAACCCTTAATATCAGTGCACTTTCTTCTACTAATTATGATGCAGACAATTGAATTTTCACAGTCCTCTTTCTSTTCTGATATTTACAAGGAGCTAGAGGACTGATTTTATATACTGCAGATCCGAAAATTACTTTTGGACTTAACATGGTCATTTAAATGCCAAGTTTTTTTAAAGGCCTCACAAATGTCTTGGATTTGTAGTTCATGAAAAGTTTCATTCTTTGAAAGAGTCTCTGAACAGTCTTGCCAGGGAAGTGGTGGTAAAGTGGTTTTAGCACTTCTGTGAAAACTGTAGCACAGATGATTAGAGATTATAATACACAGAAGGCCTTGGAAAGTACATTAGATATTAACAACASTTGCAAGCTTAACTAGAGGCTGGTCAAAGAAAACCAAACACAAATCCCTCTTTTCTTTTCCTTTCCCACCACAGTTCAGTCATTTCACGCACACAAAACATAAACAAAATAAGAATGAAAATACTTAGTTCAAGTGTGGCTGATGTGTTGCCTCAAAGGAAACTAAGTCAGTCTGGTTAACATCACCCGTATGAAAGAATAATGACTTAAGGCTACAGAGCTAGAAACGTCATGACTGGCATATCCCAGACTTTGAAACCATTAAATGCTTCAGAACTGGGGCTCAGTATTTCCTAGCAAAACACAATACCTCATGCAGCATWGTTTCTTAATTATAAACTGAATTTTTTGACAGCTTTCTTTCTTTTAAGAAAGTTTTTGTATATATCTTTTAGATRACCACTAGGCAAGTCTGTGACTCCAGGAGTTGAATTTCCCACTTTTTTGAAGACAACACTTTATATCAGTGGTCATACTCACGGGTCTAAAAGGTTGTCCTCCTGAAGGTGATTGGGGCCCTGCCCTGGCAAGCACTGGAGAGTAAATCTGAAAAACAAATCTGAAATCTCCTCTTCAAGGAGCCATGCAAAACTTATGTACTTAGGAGGAAAAAGACAGAAAATTGCTGCTAGATCAGAAACAGGCTAGAAAGCAAAGGATAGGATTAAGTAATGAATTCTCTATGCAGGAGTCATCTTCAAGAGCGTTAAAATGCTTGATAAATATGTTGTGACACCTGTAAAAAGGTAGGGAAGGGGCAAGCCAGCACTGACAGGTTTTCTTATTTATGGCTTGGTCCAGGAGAGAGCAGACTAACCATGGAACCACAGAGTCATTGAGGCTGGAAAAGATCTCTAAGATCATGGAGCCCAACTGGGTTCACCACTAAACCTTATCCCCAAGAGCCATATCCACACGCCTTTTGAACACTTCCAGAGATGGAGACTCCAGCACTTCCCTGGGCAGTCTGTTTCAATCTCTGACCCCCTCTGGGAGAAGATATTTTTCCCCATATCCGATCTAAACCTCCCCTGGCACAATTTGAAACTATTTCCTCCGGTTCTGTCACTTGCTGCTTGGGAGAAGAGGCCGACCCTCATTTGGCTATATCATCCTTTTGGGGAGTTGTAGTGAGAGATAAAGTCATCCCTGAGCCTCCTTTTCTCCAGGCTAAACACTCTCAGCTCCATCAGCTCCCCCTCACAGGAAACACACTCCAGACGCCTCACCAGCTCCATTGCTCTTCTCTGGACACTCTCCAGCACCTCAATGTCTTTTTTGGAGTGGAGGGCCCAAAACTGAGCATAGGATATAAGATGCAGCTTCACCAGGGCTGAGTACAGGGTGATGATCCCTTCCCAAGTCCTGTTGGCCACACTATGTCTGATACAAGCAAAGATGCAATTTCTTGACTTAGAGATCAAGAAAACCAGAAACAAAGCCAAAAGAAAACCAGAAAAAAAACAACCTTTTGAAAAGGAAAAAGTTAAACATAACCTGGTCTTATATTTGACAGCATCTTGACAACCATTTCAGTTAAAAGAGAGAGAGTGTGAGACGTGGCAGGGCATTTAGAGAAAGCTTTTTGTCTGGTGACAGCCAAGAGTGAAGGAAATGTTGAGGACGGACCATCTCAGCGAGGACATTGCAGGATGGAGGCAGATTTAGCCAAAAGGCAGAGCTTCTCCTGTCAAGTAGCTTTGCAAAGCCTGGAATCATCAGCATTAGAGAGATGATGGGTAGTTTGGGATTTGATGAAAGTGTACAGAATATGGCATGTACAGAAAAGACGGGGTAGGGCCTTTCTTCCTTCTGACCTGGACTCTGCAGTCAGTGCAATAAAACACAGCTGAAAATGCAGTGCAGCTGAACACAGTGCTTCTCCAGAAAGCCCTGGRTTAAAATGAGGAGAACACTGTCCCAAAAGATGGAGATGCTGAGGCAGAATCAGGATTCAAATCCTGTGATACGAAAAATGCACAGTTATCATTAACAGCAATATTTTTGGAAGAGATGGTACACCCTGCTCTTTCAAGTACAAACCAATTGTCAGATACTGCAATTAAAAATATGCACAGGCAAGATCAGGCTAGCTGCTTGCTGCAAAGTTTATGATCCTCCTTCAGGATCCAGCTGGTGAGTTTGCAAATGCAAAGCCAGCAARAGCAAAGTATGCTGAAGCTGTTTTCTCATTGCAGCAAGAGGTATAGGAAGATCCTGTGAAACAAAATCAATTTAAAAAAGAAAGTGAGCCAAAATCCCACAGTTCTGCTTGAGCTATGTGGTTTTCTGATCTTTTAGTCAGCCTCCCTTTTTAATTTTCCCCAGTGCCCTGAGATGCATAATTTAATATTTCAAATTCATTGCCTTTCTCATCTACTTTTATCGGGCACTTTGAAGCCAGACATGGTGACACGTTGCTTAAATGACTTGGACAAAAACAAATGCCTGCACTTTTTTTTTGCYATGCATATGAAAATTGATAAGAACAAATCATTCCCTGCACTTTAAAATTACTTAGAAATACTTTTGGCAAAAAAGCATTTCTGTGTGTCTGAGAAGAAAATCACTTCATTTAGGAAACCATCTTTAGACAATTTAGCAAGGGCTATTTTATGTGCCCAAATTCTTTAGAAACTATTTATCCAAGCAATAACTGAAAATAATTATCCAACCACATGCTTACAAAAGAAGGCAAGATTTGTAAGGCAGATAAYATCTTTCAAGTCCGTATAGCTGGAGAAAGCAGACAAGCTTTCAGGCATACAAGCCTTTCCCCAGCTCATTTTTTCTCTCATCTTTATAAGCTGGTGTAATAAAATAAACCATTTACATTCCAAAACTATCACAGCTACAACACTGTACTGATACTCAAAAAGCTGGAGACTGAAAAGGCACACTACATATGGATTTAAGATGTCAGCTGAAAACTCTTACAGCATAGTGGTGAGCAAAGAAACCACATAACTTTACCAGCAAATATTTCTACAAAAGTGTGTGTTGAAGTTCTACCTTAAAGAACTTCCTGGTGAGAATGAAAACCTGACAGGGTTTTTTAGTTTTATGCAATTTTTTGACTTCTGATGTTAATAGGAATGTCCTGTTCAGAGAATTTAAATGCCAAGACAAAAAAAAAAAGAGACAAAAAAAAAATAAATGGCACAGGAGTGACTGGATGCTGTAGATTCCTCACAGTTATAAACGAAATACCGGAAAACACATCTGGGAGCCACATTGCTGAAGGCTGAACAAAATGAAGCTAATGATCTGAGAGCCAAAACAGCACTGAGACTGTGAGGCTGAAGGCAGATAGAGCCCGGAATATGCAGTAGACCAGAAATGTGAAGCATCATGAAACATCGTCTCTCCGTCTGCAGTTGAGAGATTCCCAATTTGCCAGAACTGYTTTCAATATAAATGTATCTGATCTTGTTTACTTCTAGCAGACTTGCAATGAAGGGAGGCAACAAATGGCTGCAGAAAATTGTGGCTTTGCTTCTCTCTATTCTCCTGTGCCTTTCCCCATTTAATGCCCGTGATACTTGGCTGCCTGCCTCACCCTTCCCATCAGACAAAATAAATACAGGTAACAGGACCTGCTCAGTAGCAACATTCAGACTCTTGGAAAAGTCCTTTATACGTGGAGGCTGAACAATTCCTACGTTTGAGGGATCAAAGGTCCTTCATTTAGGTATGTTTGGAGAACAAAACTTAACTGAATGCTTGGAAGTGTCACACAAGAGTTTTCTTCCTCCAGTGGCCTTGTGGGTTTCAGATGGGTTGCTTCTCACCATGGTGAGTGCAACCGATGTCAGTGATGGAAGAAATCATCCCTCTTTGTTCTTGGAAAATGTTTTATGCAGGTAATTTTCCTCTACATGGGGTATTTACTCCTGCCTTCTTCTAAAGACCCTGTAAGACTGATTGTTCCTTTCACCTGTGGTCCGTTTTTCCCCAGATCTCCATGTCTCTCATTTCATTTGTGAACGGAGCCATGAGAGGAAGTCCCATAACCCTCAATGAGGCTCCCCAAACTGTGCCTGCTGGCTGCATGTCTAAGGTCACACACAGAACTGCAGAGCCACTGCCTGCTGCACCCCAGCAGGCCACCAAGGCCACCAAGCTGCCCCAGCACCACAGGAAGGAATGAGCTGGTTAGGGTGACACCATCATTCTGGTGGTGCTGTCTCAAAGAGGCAGCTGCCATCCTTCATTTTGCAAGGAGACAAGTCCTCACAGCGCTCCACATCCCCACCTTGGGACAAGGTGRCCACTCTTCCCATGGTCTCAGTGTGCCACGTCTCCCTCGTGCTTTCCAAGGAAATCTCCGGCCATGAGAGCAGAGTTTGCTTAGCCCTGCTGCGTGCAGACTCAATCTGGAAACCGTCTGTCCACTGGAGCAGCACTGTCCATCAGCAACTGGCTTTCACAAGAACTCCCAGCTACTGAAATCCTTAAAAAAAGGGTTTTTGGAGGCTCCCTACACAAATCAAAGCACATCCAAACTGTGGAGTGAAACACACGTGTATCGACAGCTATCAATTAATTAATGCAAAAATCATTTAGCAAAGACTGTGGAGGGGATGATAGAAACAACAGAGCACAGACAGAGGTGTTGCACWGTTGATTGCCACCAGGTACCAAGAYAATTTTGTCMRTGGCTATTCTGACTGCAGGTAAGATGTTTGTTTTGTTTTGCTGAGCTTTTTTCCTTTTTGAAGCTCCTCRTGGAAGCAACAGTTCTGTAGTTCATGATGTCTCATTTTGTTATGAAGTCTTCCAGAACAATAAGGCCCCATGAACTTCAACACTGAAAAAAAAATCTTTAACTAAAAGAGATTTTTTTTTTAATTAAAAAAAAAAAAATTGCCATTCCCAGGATACTTCAGTCAGCAGTGCAGAAATGCAGACAAATTAGAAGCCATAAGAAACCAAAGAAAATGTTAAGAAGCTGAAATGGGTGTTGGGCTGGAGACAAAGATGGTAAGGAGAAGCTGTTTTGTGTAGTTAATCTGAGCAGTGACTGAGGCCATATGTTAACTGGCTACAGGCATCTGTTGGAAATAAACAGCTAGCAGAGGAATAACAAGTTAGCAGAGCAAAAGAGCAACAGTTAGACATAATGACAACCCTAAGAAAGGCAAAATTTAGACTAAACCTCAATTTTTCTTTTTCCATAACAGGTCCTAGGAAGTGGAATATTCCCAGGGTTATGCTGGGAATAGTTATAGAAATACTTTTGGATAGTACACACAGTTTTATCCCCTCCCAGTTTAAAGTCAGTCATTCGGGAGGACAAAATCTTGCACTGTTAATCTCAGAAACCAGAGAGACAGTTTCTATCTCTGAGCATCATCTTCCAGATAAAGGGTTTGTTAGCTGTGGGGATTGTTATTAATAGAAGAAATAACTTCAAAATATTGTCTCTTGCTTATGTAAGATAAAACCAAAAGCAAGCAAATGGGAAAAAAAAAATCAAAAATTGGCTTGCTTATCAAACTGGCAAAGTTGAAGTGGTTTTGTACATTTTCTGTCCTCTTTTTTAGGGCACAGTCCTGGTTTTGGGTGGGTTTTTTTAACATAATTAAAACTACAGCCCATTGTACCCCAAACACCATGGTATTTTGGCAACAGCATTGATGTGTCAGAGTATTTTCCAGTGTCTCAGGGCCCTTGAGCTGGTATCTCTTCTGTAACTGGTTAACTAAAAACCAGGTGTGTATTCTCCTGGGTCATCTCAGTGGATGTATATTTAGGAATGACAATTTCTGGATGATATTCAAACATTCCTCTGGATCCATGTCATCTTGGCAAACAGTTTTAGATGCACATAYTGACCTGTATCTCTTCATCTGCTCTGTGTTTTGCTCAGCCCTGTAACCACAGCCAGTATATGGATTTCATCACACAGAGGTGCCAAGTCTCTGCAGAATAAGAAAAGAGGAAAAGTGTGTGACTCATCCTGAAGAAGACCAGATGTAAAATTCCCATTACCTGTTACAGTGAACACATTATCATTTCAAAACTATTCTGATTTTTAGGGGTTGCACTGACAGCTTCATAGCTTTTAATTATCATTTGGAAGAATTGCTCCCAAAAAGGTCTTTTCTCCCATGGTAGGAGCACAGGGAAGCAGCCTCAGCAGGTTTCAGCTTCAGCCCACTTCTTGAGTTTATTCTTCAATGTCTGTATAATGGTAAGATTACTCAAAGGGAATCTTTGTGACTTTGTAAAGCTTAACCAAATTACTCAAAAATAAACCAAATTTCTCAACATCAAGGCAGTTCTAGAATGTACTACTCAGCTCCCCAAAGCACACAGAGACATGCAAAAGTGAACCAAGCCTCTCTCATAGTTGCACCTYCATGTTCAGCTTATTCTTAGGCCCRGAGTAGGGCTGACTGTTCAAGYTGACTACTAATGCARTTTATACATCTCCCTGTCTTTAAAAAAATCYTTCCTCCTCCCTCTGCACCCACCTAGCATCTTCTCATACTGCCTCTGATGTGCCAAATTTGATATAATTTACTGATGACAACACTTAGGAATGTCTAAGCAATCCCTTCCATGAGCCCATCTTTTATGTCAGCTTACATTTTCCCTTTCCCTTGGCTTGAAAATATAAAACATAGGATACCATCCTTCAGTAGTTGCAGGCAAACCATCTGCTCCCCAAAACACAGCAGCTGAAGGCTTCAGTCATTTAAGAACTGCTGACAGTTTATATATAGCTTCCTTCAAAATAAATAACCAGGAGGACAAAGAAAAGAAAAAAGAGAAATGTGTTTATCGAGATATATRCTTGCATTTCATACATGGTCCAGTGTCCCATAAAGCTGACTTTGGTACTTTACTAAAAAAAAAAAAA